GGCAGTGCCCGAGCCCTGGCCCTCCCCCAGATCGTCAGCCGCGCAAAAGCTCAAGGTCTAAAGCACGCACATACCCCCACCGACAAAACAAACCTTAACGCGGAGCGGTAGGGGAAAAACAGGACGCCCTAAGATCCTAGTGGGAAGCGATTATAAGAAGGGAACAAACAAGCAACAACAACAAAAAAAGCAAGCAAGGGATAAAAGAGAGCGGGGGCTGCGGGGGGAGCCTGCCGAGAGAGGGAAGGTTGCAAAAGGAGAGCTGGAAAAGTGTCCAGCAGCACCAGCAGACGCAGCAGCCCCTTACCGATATGAATGATTGAATCTGCAATCGCCGCTTTCCAGGTTCGAGTCCAACAGACGGACACGACCAGGATGAGGGAGAAAACTTCCATCTCCTCCGGAGGTCCAAGGCTTTGTACCAACCGCTCTCTTCGCCAAACGGTGCCACCGCGGAGGATAGCGCGGCGCAGGAAACCCAAGAGTTTTGAGGGGCCGCCGCCGGAGGAGCGCGTAAATCCCGGTGGCTGGCGCACAGCCGCGGCTGGGCAGGGGGCGAGCGGGGGGCTCCGAGCGCCTCTCTCCCGGGCGAAACCCCGCGTCACTTCGGGGGGCTGCTGGGCAGCACCAGAGTTGCTGGGAGCGCCGGCAGCAAATCCATCCAAGCCCGGGCGCCGGCGCGGGCAGCGGACGCCTCTGCTGGTCAGACAATCCCCATCCTTCCGCCGGGTCCAGGGATCCGCTCGGTCCCGGCTGCTGCACAGCAACTTCCAACCCACACCACGCACACCCTCACACACACACACACAGACACACACACGCACACAACCCCTCTTGGCCGGAGAAGACCCAGGAGCCCACAGCAAACCGCTCGCTTTTAGCGAGGGAGGAGGAGCGGCCAACCCGGAGAGAGCAGGCGATCCCGCTTCCAGCAACCAGATTCCTGCAGGAGAAGCCCCCCCGGAGGCCAAAAAAACAAAGTGAACTTCAAGGTAATGCAGATAGTAATGCAGAGATTTCCCCCCCCCCACAAACCCTTCGCTTAAAAAAAAAAAAATAAATTTCTTCCCACAACTGGAGGAAAAATTTATAAAAAAAGAAAAAAGGAAAGAAATCTGCAAATAAAGCCGGCGTGCTGTCTCTGTCGCGCAAGGTATTGGTTGGACAGGGCAGGAGCGAGAGGAGGAGTGCTCGGAGCAAGGCAGAGGAAAGCAGATGATGGTCTGCAGGTTGGTTTTGGAGCTTGCTTTGCTGGTGGTGGGATGCAGAGAGAGCTGGCAGCTCCAGCACCAGCCAGCACGTTGCCTAGAAATGGATCACCTAGGAGAAGGAGAGAGAGCGAGAGATAAGTGCTATCAGCCGGAGAGGGAGAAACAGAGAGAGCGAGCGAGTGAGAGCGCGTCTCTCTAATAACCACCTCCTCCCCCTATCTGCAATACAAGGGAGAAACAAAATAGAGCTCTCATCTCCCTTGAAATCTTCAGCTGGGACTAAGGAAGAGACATAGGCAGGAGTGCATGCAGCCTAAAAATACATTAGGGGGAGGGAAAAAGGCGCTTTCGCAGGGAAAGCAACTGTTCTGCAAGCAGCGGGAAATCAGGAGAGGGAAAAAAAAAAAAAAAAGAAAACACACCCCATTTATTTAACCTTGTAACTCCACTGTAGGTATCAAGTTCAAAGCTAGATGGGCACTTTTGCTTCTCGGTCTTTGACAACTGAGTCAGGGACATTGCTTGAAGGGGAAAAGGGAAAAAAAAAAAAGAAAAAAAATCAGGGACACCTGGCCTCAAGGGGAAAACGAAGACCTAAAAATCTATTAATATTACTTTAATTATCTGTGTTCTTGATGGAATTCTCATAATTCTTTAAAGCAATGAATTGGCTTTTTTCTTCCTCTCTCTTTAGGTAGTGGAGAAATTTCTATGGGAAAACATTTAGAGCATACTTTTCATGCTCGGGGTACTATGAATTCATTAACCAATTAATCTGCAGACTTCTTGTGCTGTAGTTAAATACATTATCCCCAATACACAGACAGAAAATTGCACAAAGTTAAGTATGTTCCTATAAGCTAGTCTAAATCCCCACTTTATGTCTTATTACACTCTTTTGATTTGATTTTTCTAGTCACACTACAGACAGGATGCAGAAGTCACAAATTGCTCCATCACAGTGGTTATATCCTAAACTCGCATAAGCCATTGATAAGACCTGGCAGTCCTTTTAGAAGGCTAAATAGAGGTTGATCAACCCCTTTTCTTCAGAAAGAGGCTTTTTTGAAGGCATCTCCTTATTTATAGCACTTAAGTTCATCATATACTACTTGCACGTCTTCTTTCAGCCATTGGACTAGATAGCAAGCACACTTGTATACCTACAAAATTTGAGGATTTAGTTCAAGAGGAAAAAATAAGATTTTTAAGAAAAGACAAACTAAATCAGTGTTAAGGACCAAGATAACTGGATGTATAAAAAAGCCACCGTCAGCAATTTCTACTTTATTTATGTCCACATTGGCAGGCGAGTACTTCCCTAAAAATGGTAACACTCAAAAGGCTTCAAGCCAGATCCAAAGCACAAGGCAGGGCTCAACTTCTCACTGGCTAGAATGGGCTTTCTCTCTTCTAAGAACTGTAACAAATCACAACTAAAATTGACTTCAAGAGACAAAAGAAAAGGTACATAAAGAGAACAAAAGATGATGGGCAGTGTGAAGCAGAAGTCTCACAAATTATGTCACTCACATGCTGCATTTGTACGTACCCTCTGTGCAAGTTGCAGATCTGTTATCGATAACAGCAAAACAGTAAAAAAGGCTTTTTTTTCTATAAATGACAGTTTATGCACAGCATCAATGAGTGTAATAGGCATTTATTTCACAAGCAATAAATTCTGATTCATATGAGAAGCTTTTGGAGTTGCTTGAGTCATTATTACTTCTTCACAAAAGAAGAGAGTTCACAAGAAATGTTAATTTGCTTTTTTGGGGGGCAGGTCAGAGCAGTACTCTTTAATAATATACAATGCACAGTAGGCAGAATAGGAAATGTAATGGAAACCTTTGGAAAATTGTAGCTTTTTAATCCTCAGTTTAGATAATGCTAAGAATTTTGAGGCCTTATCTAGAAACCAGCTATCCTTACTGACTCTTTAAAGCATCCAGTACCCTGAATTGGCCACACTAAATGGAAATTTTTGCTTAAGTCTGTAGACATACTTAACAGGACAAGAAGCACAGCCAAGAGTTTGTAGCTCACAAATACCCTGTAACTAATAAAAATGCTTTTGGTGTGTAGCTCTGAATAATAATTCCGGTGGAACGAGACTGAAGTAATGTTAAAATGTAATTTCAAATAAACTTACTTTAAATAATGAACACATTATTGACTTAATATGCATCCGCCACAGAGATAAAATAATATGCGCTTCCTCACTTTTCATTCTCCTCAATTCTTATTCATTAAAAACAAGAACTGGTGTCATCCATTTAAATACACTGAAAAAATCTTATGCTATGTGGTTGGTTCAAGGTATCAGAGAAAAGTGTTGAAAAAGGATAAGTCTCTTCTATTCAATATATAGTAAGCTTTTGCAGAAAGTTAAAGGTAGGTTAAAAAAAAAAATAATATTCCAGAACAGGAGTTACCGATACTGTGAAAATAATCAGACCTGGGCAAATTTTTTTTTTTTTTTTTCAGTGGTGCCCAGTGATAGGACGAGGAGTAACGGGCACAAGCTTGAACATAGGAAGTTCCATCTTAACATGAGGAGGAATTTCTTTACTTTGAGGGTAGTGGAGCACTGGCACAGGCTGCCCAGAGAGGTGGTGGAGTCTCCCACTCTGGAGACATTCAGAACCCGCCTGGACGCTGTCCTGTGCAACCTGCTGTAGGTCACCCTGCTCTGGCAGGGGGGTTGGACTAGATGATCTCCAGAGGTCCCTTCCAACCCTGACCATTCTGTGATTCTGTGAAATGCAGGCCTCTAATAAGCCATGAGCACCATTCTCAGGATTTCAGTGATCGCTGCCTCAGGCACTTTGGAAACTTAAGTCCCACAGGTTTCAGCCATGCTGCTCTTCCTTCATTACAATTTCCCTCCCAAAATGTCCTCCATTGCAACAGCATCACTTCAGCTTCACCATTAGCATCCATGGGAGAAGCACCACCATCGACCAAACAATCTAACAACAGGGTGTAGTTGTCTTCTTTCTAGTAGTCTAAGTAAAATGTGGTTAATGGTTGATGTACCTTATGTTTCCACTAATCAGCTATTACCGTGTTGCACATTAATGCAACCCCTAGAGCTGCGGCAAAGAAGAGATGTTCTTCTAAAACAGACGCAGCAGGGGGAAAAAAAGTGTCCATCTAAAGTTTATTGCGTCACACCCACGTAGCCAAGTCAGCCTGAGACCTGAGCTTTTATCTACAGAGAAAAGATAGCTAAATACAGAAGTCTCACATACCTTTCACTCATAAAGCCTTAAATTTCACCACGTTATGCCCCTTTTCACATCTGGTTGGCCATACAAACATATCTAACCATGCAGAGGTCAACTTTTGATTTGTTTCATTCTAAGTCCCGGGAATTCCTTCAGGTGAAGAAGTTAACATAGTGAGATAAAACAGTCTCACTTAAAACCTTCAGGGTTGGGAAATAAACAGAATAGCTAAGCCTTACAATGACAGTCCTGAATTACATATTTACCATTCCCACACATGAGCATTAAATATGCCTTTTGCATGTTAGAATTCAATATTTTATATTCAAGTGTATTGCTTAAACTTACAAAATATTTAGATGAGATGAAATCAGATTACACCCTAGGTTAGTCCACCAGTTCATTTGCTCCAACAGCTCTTTCATGAAGGCCTTTAAGTTGTTACTTCAGAGAAAAACCAAACCAAAACACAAAAAACCCAAAGGGCATGCCCCTGTCCCACTGTTCTGTGCACAGTGGGAAACGGAGATAGGAGAAATTTCTTCCTGACCCTACGAAGACCATCACCTCCTGTCTTGAAGTTTGATATTCAATTAACCTTTTCATCTTAGCTTGCATAGTTATAAATCTTGTTAATGCTCACAGAGTAATCCTAAAAAAAAAAAAAAGAAAAAAAAGGAAAAAACCAAACAGCAGCATTAAACTGAGTGACCTTCTGTAACAATGAATTCCAGCAGCGCCAACTGGCCATGAAAAATAACATTTCTTTTACGTGGTTCTAATTTACTCTTTCATAAGATAGTTCAATATTATTGCATTAAGGGGTGGGATTAAAAAGAACTGATCATCTGTTACAGGAGAGAATCATCAATCATAAACACCTAACAGTCATACCCAAATTGTTATTGATGCCATCTGGACATGGAAGAAAGGCCAGGAAGGCCCACCTACTAT